GTTCTAGAATTAATACCTTTCATCTCCTCAGAGCATTCTACACAATAGTGGGCTCTTTTTCAGGCTTCTGAGCAGGAGTTGATCCCCTCTTGCTCCTTCAGTACTATTCAGGCATGTGAATTAGCTATTTTACTCTATTCTGGAGGGTAACTTTAGAAAGATGCCGTTATCTCCTTCTCCAACATCACCCATAATTGAAACTAAAGAGCTTCTCTATGCCAGACTAAACATAAAAGGAATCAGTAAATTTTTCATATTTAGAGGTTCCCAGAATGTCTGCATGTTTGACAACTCCAAAAGAAACCAACATCCTATTGTTATATGGCAAGACAGCCTCAAGCTATACCCAACACCATGAACTTGTATTCAGTTTATATTTGCATAGTTTGACAAATCAATGAGATGCAGTTATGCAAGTGGGAAAAAGTATAACAGTTCACAAAGCATTAGGTTAGTAAAACCGTGATTCTATATCCTTAGAACAGCCTTTAGTCCTCCCAAGTCCACTATCTACATTTTAATCAGGATGTATAGTTAAGCACTGTATATATATTTTTTTTTTAAACTATTTTCATACAAATTAGTACCATCTCCAAACAAGAGGTTAGTTAGAAAGCACCTCCACAGAATTCACAGAATAGAAACCTGCAAAGTCAAGCCAGATCAGTTCAACATTTTTATACTACCTCAAAATACACTCTTATCTCCCACAGAAGTCCACACCATTGAGTTAACATACGCTAACATTTACATTTCATTGAACTGATGGGCTTTACATACTTACCAGTAACCTGACAGTCTACTGGAGCAGGGGTACAGGCTAAGGCTGTGTAGAACTCAAAGAAAGTATGGTGGATTTTCGAAGTGCTAGTTTCTTCACGTACAAATCTGAGTTCTCCAGGGTAGGAGTCGTTACAAATGAAAGTTATTGTGAATGTATCTGAAGTTCCTGGGTGAAAGAGAGGAAGTTATGTATATCCCATTTGTTACATTAAGACTCGGAAGTTATTTTTCAGAAAAAAAAAGAGAGTGTCCCATGTTTCTGTGGACAGACACTCTTTACTGCTGCCTCTAAGGTTCTAAGCCAAGATTTCCAGTTCAAGTTACAGAAGTCCTAATGCAATGCTATCACTTCAACACCAATGTCTCCCACTCGATAGTTACATTTCACATTGGAATTAAGCTTTCCACTTCCGTTTCACAACTGGAGGTTGTTCATTCTGAATGACAAATCGCTTGCTCAGCAACGTTAGGTGCCAACTTACAATTCAAATCCTACTTTACTGACATCCAGAGACTTGCAAACCAGGGACATGGACAGACCCAAGTATACTGCTTCATACAACTTACAAGTGTTTGGCTGAGTCACCCATGAGTGGTAATTCTCACACATCTGCTCCTAGCCTGCAGTTAAACTGAAAATAGTGAGGCAGCTAGGAGCTGTCACATTCAAGTGCAAAGTTAAGAGTTTTAGCATTTGCATGCATCAGCTTTAGTCCAGGTACTAACAGGTACTGTATATTTCAAGCTGATTTGTTGTGAAGTCGTTTCCTTTCCTCAAGATGTGACTGGTGCAACTGGTTCAATGGTCTATACGAGTGGTTTTCAACCTGGGGTCCACAGACCTCTGGGGGGCCTGCAGACTATATTTAAGGGATCCACAAAAGATGACCACGATCAATCAAAAAGTACATGAATACCCACACTTATAATTCAAAGGGGTCTGCACTTCCATTCAAAATTTCCAAAGGAGTCCACAAATGAAAAAAGGTTGAAAGCCCCTTGTTTATACTTTACAAATGCTTATAACTACAACCACAACCACCCTTCCCACCAGTCGTCCTTCCTTAAAGAGTAAGAAACTTCCTTCAGACATGGAATGCACCAAGCCTGGGCTCCAGAATTTCAGGCACTAGTTTTCTTAGCCCTAAATTCAGTATATTTCCTGTAATGAAATAGTTTGAGTATCAGAAGTCGTCAGTACATCAGATGTCCTATTCAATAATTTATGACACCCTTCCAAATAAAGACTCCAGTTTATTTGAAATCGTTAAAAAAAGAGACTCCAGAAAAAATTCTAATCCCAAACTTAGTTAATTTCCCTGTTTTCTTTGTTTTTCCCCAGAAGTTTGGGTTTTTTTTAAATTAAAAAAAAAATAAACTCCTCAAAAGCTCTCTCCTGTATGGACAAGTTGTGGAGATAAAATGGAGAAATATCAAAATAGCTTCCCTTTAAAAGTGGCATTTCATGTTTTTCCCTCCCCCACATTTTTGTTCATTTGGTTGGTTTTTTTGTTGGTTTTTTTGTTTTTTTTAAGTCAATACTGACTGAATTGTCACTGTTTTTTGTTTTGGAGGGTTTTTTTTGGTTCTTCCACAAAAAAATGGCAGAAGTCTCCATGCAAAACTCTTACAGCATTAAAGATTTTTCCTACTGGAGTTCATGAAATTTCCCCCCCCCCCACAGTCAACAAATGGCAACTAACTTTTTGCTGCGTAAACAGGCCTAGAATGAGAGCAATTTATAAAACTAATATGGAGCCTCAGAACTGTAGCACAGGTTGAACTCACCTGATGCTGCAACAAGAGGGCCTTTGTAGGTGAGAGTGAGAAGTCCTTCAGTAGACAGGCGAAGGGTTTTATCCAATTCCACTGTCCTTACTGATTTTAGATCTGTTTCACATCCAGCAGCTGGTTTTCCATTGATATTACCACAATCCGGTGCTGGCCCACAAATATTTAGCTAGTGTTTGAGGAGGCACACAACGTTAATTTGCCTGACATTCCAAACAAATACTAAGAAAATAAGTCTTCTAGTCCTCATGAGAACTCAGACTCTACGAGATAACTCAATCCCCAATCTGCATTTGCAGCAATTTCAGCTTACATTTGTAAGTACATACATTTCAATGTCTGTATGTGGAGATCAGTCTCAATATATGGCATCACACCTCAAGAAAAAGGAGAGGTATTCTACCCACATAACGTAAAATAGTCATATTTTTGCTGCATTTCTAACTTTAAATCATTTCTACTGTTCTGTTGCTGCTGTTCTGAAGTTCAACATCTGCCAGTTGGATTATTTGCTCAATCTTTTTTTCTTAGCTACTGAAGTTACCAAATTGCCTTCCACTCCCAGGCAAAAGCACAGTTCTGTCAGACTAACTCACGTCCTTATGTTACCATAAAGGATAAACAGAAATTTAACAATTGAGCCTATCAGGTAAGACTAGAAAAGACAAGCATTACCCTGAAAAGCAATTGATTGATCGATCGATCGGTAGATATAGATTCCCCCCCACCATTTACCATGTAGCTCTTCCCAGTTCCAATGGCTTTATATCCTTTTTCTGAAGCTAGAGGTTGCAGGTTGAATAGAAAGCCACTGTTTGGATCTCTCACAGAACAGGACTGTAAAGACATTAGGGGACAGGAGATGCAGAAAACAACTGGTTAAGAAAAATCTGGACATTCAAACAACCATAAAATTAAGAGAATCAGGAATCATACACTCAGAATTAACTGCTTTACAAATACGCTTAAGGTTCGAGAAGCACAAACCAGCTCCTACTGCTGCTGTTAGCTGGAGCAGTCTATTTTTGTTTTTCAAGTACTGCACAAAGATAGCTGGCCATTTATTGTTTTCACACCAATAGCATGTTGGTACTATGCAACTATGCTCTGCAAAGAAAGCCTAAAGAGTAAAAAGGGAAACAGGTGAAGGAGCAGAGAGTTGCAGAGAATTATTAAGAGGACATTAAAAGGTTTCCCCACTCTGAATTCAATCAGATTCCTGGGTAAAATCCAGAGGGCTCAAGCTTTCATTGCTTCTGTATGAAATGAGTGCTCTATTCATACAACTTGGTTTTTTAACTGCACAAATGACCATGGAACAAGTTGCTAGGCTTAATCCATTCGGTAATTAGTTGGCAGCCTCAGTAGTGAAGCCAAAACCTGACTGGCATGGCAACTACTATCACATTTGTGGAACTACAGCAGGAGTGCTCAACCCCCACCTGCAGGGCTTCCCGTGCATCTGAAAATTTGGTGGTAGGGGAGTGGTGGCACCATTCCCCTACTGCCAAATTTACAGTGCCATGGAGACCCTGCAGGCCAGATTGTAGCCCTGCATGCTAGAAGGAGTATGAAGGACTGCAGGGCCACAGGCAGATGGGGCTAAACAGGGGCGCTACAGGGCCCAATCCAGCCCATGGACAAGCCATCTGGTCCACGAAGCCAAAACTTTGAGTACCACTGGTCTGAAGCAAGACTGCCTATGTTTCCATTACAGCAGCCATGCCAAAGGGAGACAGGACTTTACATTAAAATCTAGCTTTTTTTATTCTCTCTCTAAATGGACTTTAAAACCTTCATTAGTCACCATTTTGCAGGAAACATCTAATATTATAAAGGAACAAGAAAAAAGTGTAAAGAACATTAAAGCAAACCACAAATACCGCCCTCCTCTTGCCTCACCTGAGTTTCATCTCTCGTTGTTTTAACTGGACATGCAGCTTCTGTTTCCCACAGGAAGGTGATCACACATTCTCGGTCATCAATAAACCTTGGGCTGCTACCCTGGAAATACAATTTGCAAAGGAGTTTGGGATCAAGACTACTAATTTCAAAAACATTCTTATTCTTGGAGAACAGCCTTTTAAAAGCTTGGGACAAAACCTCAGTAGTAGAGTCAGGATCCCTGTTAAAGAGAGTACATGCACTTTCCTTGCCTCCCCCCCACCAAGCCTTACTGAATACTTTAATATGTAGGGTACCTATTCTGACAAAACAGAAAAGAAGCAATAACCATCTGTATTAGAAGGACAGCAATAAAAAATGGCCTAGTGATGCACTAGTCTGACTAGCTGAATGTTTCAGAATTTACTAACAACATATTCTGGAAACTAAACAGCTATTAGGAATGCTGGATGAAGTCATGAAGTTCTAGAAGGAAATGAAGTATACCATAAATAATCAGAGGTTTACACCAAGAGCCTTATGGATCCAATCTCATGAATGGAAGTAAAACTGTTCAGAATAGATGCCAACATTCATATAAAAATTCTTACCAAGCCTCTTGTAGCAAGATACAGAGCATCTAATATGTTAAAATCTCAAAAATCATGCAATATAGGATAAGTGGTTGAGTACAACAAGAAAAAAAGTCTAGACTAAATAACCCAATTTTCAGCAAATGGATTCTGAAAAAGTGAACTGCACATTATATGCAAGAAATATGGTAAGAGCAGTTTCTGCCAGTTACCCAGCAAAGGGGAAAAAGCAGCTTTACATGATCCAGGCTATGCTTCCAAAGGAAAAAACCTCTTAATTTTGCCTTAAAAACACAAAAACGTGTGCACATGCAAGACAAATGGTACTATTCTAAACCTTTTTCCTTGAAAGCAAAAGGAGTTCGGGTGCATAACACTGGGACACAGTTAACTATATAGTCTTGATACAAAAGTGGGAAGTCTGTTCTAGACAGATGCAGTAAGTCTGAAATCTGTTTGCCTTGACATGCACAGGCTTCCTCCTTATGGCTGTATCCATCTCCTGCATGGTTGCAAGAGAAAAAAGTATACAATGTATATGTACAAATTTAAGATTGAGGGGTTACATGTTTAAGCCTCCACAGATTATCAAACATCAAATAAATTCCCATCTGGAATGCTGAATCCAGATCACGGTCATGATCTTCTAATTGTCAGATATGTAATATATAATACTATTTTTTGCATATTTCACTATGAAACAGGAAAAGTTTCCATCCTTACAAGAGTGCCTTCGGAGCAGGTGAAATGGATTACAGTTGTATAGGAGATATTCCGTCCATCAGCATTGATGCACACAGAACCACCTGTGTAGGTTAAAAGAACTCGACCAGGTCTTTCAATTACGAGTCCTTTGCTAGCAACTCCCAGGTTACTAATGGAAGGGACTTCAGAAATAGAATCCTAAACAAAAAAACAAAACACAAAAGTCAGTTCCAATTGAAGGTTTTCACTAAACGATCAAGCTTCTTTCAGCTACAAGAGTCAATCATCCTGCCAGTATTACATTCCAAAAACAATTTCTTGAGAAAAGTGTAGTTAATTGTGAAATAGCAAGTAAGAGGTTAAAAAAAACTACCTTTAACTATCACTGCTCACCTCCATAAAAGCAACAATATTTATAGTCCAGCCAAAATATGTAATCTATTCATACTCTAGTTTTAAAAAAAGTTGTCTGTAAGAAGCTACCCAAAACTTGAACACCCCCGATTTGTCAGCTAATTTATGGCACAAAGTTTTAGCACCCGTTTGCCAAGACTCTCTCGCATTTGATAACAGGGTAAGCATTCCCAAGGTGCCACTCGCTGGACTTTTCTTACCATCACTGCAGAAAAGTCTTCTGCAATTTTACTATCTATTGGAGACCAATGTCAATACCTATTTTGCCAGTTTCCTCACTGGTTTTCTATCTTTACATGGAAGAGGAAGGTTTTTTCTCTACTAGACTGTGTAGTGACTACCAGTTTGTAGAACTAGCGACAGGCAGATGGTCAGACTGAATCAGTAGCAGTTCACTTCCACATAAGTCCAAATACAAGGCTATAGCAATGATGACACTCCTAAATGAATCTATGGTAGTTTGGATAAGAAACGGACAGCATCAAGAACTAAAACAGTTCCTCTCAGGAAATAGCCACTGTTGAAGTTATGAGGTCACTAAAAAAAATGTTTACAAGGTCTTTCTCTATTACATAGGTAGGCTGGATCTTGCAGAAACATTGAAATCAAAGTCAGCTACATAAAGGATTTACTACTGCAATCTAGGTATTTATGACATTGTTGTATGTGATCACTGTCAGCATCTGTGGATTTTAAAATCTTCACCACCTTCCTGAAGTAAGAACCCCTATGACAATTTGACAGGAAACAAGGGTGATGCAACATCCTCTAAGAATTTATCACCTCTAGCTCTTCTTTAAGTATTCTTGCTGTTCCTCCAGTAGATTATGGACAAGAAATACAGCAACCCACAGCAACCTTAAACCCATTCAAAATGCCCCCACCAAAAAAACAAACAAACACAGGATCTTATTTGCAAGGCACTGTGAAATTTAAGATTTTGAGAAGGGAGAAAGAAAAAAGTAAGCTTCTAATCACTGGGGAAGAGTTAAAAAGCCACAGGCTCTGGACTGTCAGTACCACCTCAAGGCAGGGAAGTATACATCCTTATAATGTTTACCATTTTTGGTTGCAATTAGAAGTTTACAAGGAAAGGGTGGTAAACAAAAACAGGGACGGAGGACTAGAGGTTAAAAATAAGAAAGTTTCTCTGATGCTCAATTTATATTTCTTTACTTCAGTTGCTCACCCTTTTGAGTCCATATACTGTATTAAAATCAATCTATTGTCCAAACAACAGAGATACAAAAACAGTGTTTTTATTGGAAGATTCAGTCAGCATTTATGCTAGTAGTTATGACTCAACAGGTCATTCACTTTCTTCTTCTGCATAGGTAACTAGAAAGAGAACAAACTTGATATTTAAGCTATATGCAAGAGTTCTCCCCTACTCCTCACCCCCTTCCTATGAGAAGGTGGGTCAATTACTCACATAATCTCTTTCATACTTCATTTGACAGACTGATGCATGTCGATCACATCCTGGAACTGGAATTAAGGGCCGACAGATATTTATGTAGTATTTCCTGCGTTGGTTTGGCTCAGAGTTATCCATGGCATACCAGTTTTCACCTCTTTTTTCAGATTTTGATAGTCTGCATTAAAAAGTGAAAGTTACAGCATATTCCTCTTAAAAAGAGAAAGCAAACCAAGAGACAAGCAAAACCCATCCTGTAACCACTACAGAGGTAGCAATTAAGTAACTGTCATCTGCTAGATATCACAATGAAAACACGTACTTTGCTCCTAGAATATTGTCTACTGCACCATGCCTATTCCCAAATTAAAAAACAAACACACACACACACTTGTTATCAAAACCAGCCCAATAAAAACCAAGTCAGCCTATGATGGCATAAGTCTCTTTCAAAGATGTAAGTTTTTCTCTTCACGTTGCATGACAGTTTGATAGTAAGACATCAGTTTAGGCAGTTCTAACTGTCTACACAGACAGAAAGGCCAATTTGGTTTAAAGTACTATTATTAGCAAGAGGTGTCTTCCAACTACAGGCTGTGCTCTTTGACCCAGTGCTCTTTACTTTTTTCTTACCTTGACAAATCATATTGTTGCATGGTGGTGGGATCAGTAACAATGCACTCTAATGGCATCTCTGGACAGGCATGTTCAGTGTACCACTTAAAGTTGTATGTGTAACTGTCTTCTTTCTATCGTTGGAAGACAGAGTGTGAAAAAGAGTTAGCAGCATGACTTAACAGGCATCTGATTCTTAAAAGTTAAGTCTTGTTAATAGAGCTACCTTCCCCTACATACTGGGAATATCCAGCCTATGATCTCATCTTCGGCTGCATATTTACAGGTTCACTATTTGGGTATATCATGGCACATTTCCCTGTTCATTTATCAAAACTGTTTTTTCTCTAGTTTAACATCTTGTGGCACTTGTTAGAGTAGCATAGAACTTTAACTCCTTTAAGCTATGGGTTGGCAATCTACAGCTTGAAGGCCACATCCAGCCTGCACAAAATAAATCAGGTCACACATGCAGCAACTGGGCAGCAGAGAAGTGGCAGTAGCACCCAAGTCAAAAGCACCAGCCTGCTATGACCCAAACTCGGGGGTGGGCAATTATTTTGGGCAGAGGGCCACTTACTGAGTTTCGGCAAGCCATCGAGGGCCGCATGACAGGCAGCCCAGGGCAGATTAATTTAATTTTCTAAATTTTTTTAGGGGCCCTGCAGGCCGGATAGAATGGCCTGGCGGGTCACATCCACCCCGTGGGCCGCATTTTGCCCACCCCTGCCCAAACTACATTTCAGCTCACCACTCAAAAAGTTGCCAACCCCTCCTGCAAGCAGCTCCACTAGTTGCTGCAATGCAGCTCTTCCTCAGCTGCTTGATAGTGAAGACCACTTTAATTCAAGTGAAACTACAATGGCAAAGGCAATATATTCAAGTCAGATCCAGGTAGACACCCTGGTGATCCAGAGTAAAACAGGCTTTGTGACTACCAAGATCATGACTAACAAAGCAGATGCTCCAAAAGAGTAATTAACATTTTTTGACAGAAGCTTCCCCACAGTTGCTGAAAGCTCAATTCGTACCGGTTCAATGCAGTTAAGAATCAAAAGACTGAGCTTCAGGGAGTTCGCTACCCCCCCACTTTCATCTAGAAGTTCCTACCTGGTATTCAGGTTGACCTATTCCAGCTTCACGATCACACAGAAAAGTTATAAGGGTAGAACGTGGAGTCTGGTTCTCATTGTTGTAAGGTGTACCATTTTTGTAGGTCAGCTGAATCATTCCATCGTAATATGAAAGTTTGGAACTGAGCGCTCCAAGACTCCATGCACCATGGTTGCTGATGACAAAAAAAAAAGATACCATACTGCTTAAAATTCACTTAGTCTCATCTTAAGTCAAACCCCTATGATACACTAACAGACTAGGGAAAAAGGTATTATGAACATATAAAGCAAACAGTAATGTAATGTAACATTTAAAAACATATGCTGAAGGGAAGCCAATTTCACAGAACTGATCAAAAGCCACATTAGCATTAGGTTAGGCAGACCATATAATCTGCATCCTTTAACGGATAGCTCTTCTCTGAGAGCTAATTATAATATAGGTTTCACTGGGCACATCTACACAAGACGCTTTGAGCGCAGCAGACTAGTTCTACTGTGCATTAGTGGGGCAGGCAAAGCCTGTGCTAATGTGCTAGTCTAGCAAGCAGTAGCATCACTAAAACACTTTCATCTGTGCTAATGCACAGTAGCACCAATTACAGCACATTAAGTTAGTACCTGTCATTACAGGTACCCATTATTACAGGTACTAAACATACACAATTAAAGTGTAGCTGTGTCCACTGTCTCTTAAGGTCCAGAGCAAATTACTTCTCAGGACTAGAAATCAAGTTTGATGTGACCATGCACGCATGTGCACGCATACAGTGTCAGTTGATTGCTGTGCACAGAGGATAGAGTAGAAATTGAAAAAAAAAAAATTAGTTAAGGTATGACCCAAAAGCCCTAACTGGTGTCTCAATTTTCACTAAGGACAGTGTTGACCGTAGGAGCACAGGCAGGATAGGTAATGTGAATGAAGAAATGGAAACCCTTTATTGTTGAAAGGGTTTAGTACTGGGCTGGGGAGAGGGATTTTGTGAAGTCTGAAAACCAGTTCACAAGCAAAGACCTAAAAAGTTCAATGGACTCAGTAGTGGAAGGACAACTTCACTGCAGAATTCGGAAAGGAGCTGACACATCGTCACAGGTGTGGAAGCAAGTATATTAAACAAGTTTATTAAAAAAAAGCACAAATACCATGTGATTGGGGAACAGAAAAGGGGGTAGTGTCTAGGGCACCTACAAGCCAATGGTTCCAATTCAAGGGATGGTACTGAAGTCAGGCTACATCTTGAAGGAAAAGAACAGATGAAGGTAAATGGAAAAAAAGATAAAAATGCAAAGGTTAAATCATGCCAGACTAATCCAATACTTAATTTTCTAAAGGATCCTCTCCATTAGGACTTCAGCAAGCAATCTGACTTAGTGCCACATGGGAAATTAGTTAAATTGGAGAAAATGGGAAATTAGCACAGAAACTGAAACGTAGCTAAAGACCTGACAAGCAGAGATGGCAACAGGTATTGTTGAAAGGGTTTAGTACTGGGCTTGGGGGAAGGGATTTAGTGAAGTCTGAAAACCAGGCTTGGTTAAGACTGGCTCAAGTAGGGGTATATCAATGTGGGGGTTGGGGGAAGTTAGGAGGCACTGTCAATATGGACGACAATCAAGGTAGCATGTATAAAGAACTGGCAGCCTTAGGTACAGGAACAGAAGTAGGATGATATTTAAGAAGCAGTCCAAAGTGTACTATCACATACTTGGGATTAAAAGAATTTATGCTATATGCTGGGAAAGAGACTGAGGACAGTTGTGGAAGAAAAACCCACAAACTTTAGGTGTTCTGTCAAGGGAGCCTGCATAATTACAAGGGTAACAAGAAGGGTTTCTACAAGAATGTTAGCAACAAGAGAAAGGTCAGGGAAACTATGGATGCCTTATTGAAGGGGGAGGCAACCTAGTGACAGATGAGGAGGAAAAGGCTAAAAAGTACTCAGTGACTTTTTTGCCTCAGTCTTCACAGGCCAGCTCCCAGACTACTGCACCAGGCAGCACAGGTTGTGGAGAAGGTGATCAGCCCTCAGCAGTGAAAGAACAGATTAGGGACTACTTAGAAAAGCTGAACATGTACAAGTCCATGGGGCTGGATGCAACGCATTTAAAGGGTGTGGAAGGAGTTGGTTGATGCGACTGCAGAGCCACTAGCCATTATCTCTGAAAACTCGTGGCGATTGGGGGAGGTCCCAGACAATTGGAAAAAGGGCAAATATAGTGTTCATTTTTAAGGAAGGGAAGAAAGAGAATCCAGGGAACTATGGACCAGTAAGCCTCACCTCAGTCCCTAGAAAAGTCAAAGAGCAGATCCTCAAAGAATCCATTTCTAAGCACTTGGAGAAGAAGGTAAATTAGGAACAGTCAACATGGACTCACCAAGTGCAAGTCAGGCCTGACCAACCTAATTGCCTTCTATGATGAGATAACTGGTTCTGTGGATGTGGGGAAAGCAGTGGACATAATATACCTTGAGTTTAGCAAGGCTTTTGGTACCACCTCCCACAACATTCTTGTGAGTAAGCTGAGGAAGTATGGGTAGGATGAGTGGACTGTAAGGTGGATAGAAAGCTGGCTGGATTGTCAGACTCAATAGCTAATAATGTCTCTATGTCTAGCTGGCAGCCAGTATTGAGTGGAGTGCCCCAGGGGTTGGTCCCGTGGCTGGTTTTGTTCAATATCTTCATTAAGGATCTGGAAGATGAGATAGACTGCACCCTCAGCAAGTTCATAGATGACACCAAGCTGGGAGTAGTAGATACACTGGAGGATAGAGCTAGGATTCAAAGTGACCTAGACAAATTGGAGGACTGGGCCAAAAGAAATCGTGTAAGGTTCAAAGACAAGGGCGAAATCCTGCACTTAAGAAGGAAGAATCCCATGCACCGCTACAGCCTGGGGACTGACTGGTTAAGCAGCAGCTCTGCAGAAAGAACCTGGAGGTTACATTGGACAATAAGATGGATACGCAGTGTGCCCTAGTTGCCAAGAAGGCTAATGGCATACTGGGCTGCATTAGTAGGAGTGTTGCCAGCAGACTGAGGGAAGTAATTATTCTGCTCTGGTGAAGCCACATCTGGAGTACTATGTCCAGTTTTGCCCATCTCCCACACTAGAAAGGATGTGGACAAGTTGGAGACAGTCCAGCAGAAAGCAATGAAAATGGTTTGGGGACTGGGCACATGACTTCTGAGCAGAGGCTGAGGGAACTGGGTTTATTTAGACTGCAGAAGAGAAGACTATGGGGGGGATTTGATAGCAGCCTTCAACTACCTGAAGGGTGGTTCCAAAGAGGATGGAGCTAGACTGTTCTCTGTGAACAAGCAGCAATGGTGTCAAGTTGCAGCAAAGGAGGTTTAGGTTGGATATTAGGAAAAATTCTCACTAGGAGGGGGGTGAAGCACTGGAACAGGTTACTGAGAGCTGGTGGAATCACCATCCTTGGAGGTTTTTAAGACCCAGCTTGACAAAGCCCTGGCTAGGATGATCTAGTTGGGGATGGTCCTGCTTTAAGCAGGGGGTTGGACTAGCTGACCTCTTGAGGTCCCTTCCAACCCTCATTTTCTATGATTTGATAATGGTAGGGAGTATTCATGCTATTGTACAAGTTACTGACTAGACTTCACCTGGTATATTACATGCAACTCTACAAACCTGTTGTTTTGATTTTTGAGGTCTATCATGACAAGTGCAAAAGACCACTAGAATTAAGGGAAATGGAGAGCTTATCTTTTAGCTTAATAGAGACCAAGAATGGGCAATTATTCAAGGTATATGAATAAGTAAACACTAAAAAGGGGAAGAAGAGCCAAGTTAATGACAACACTAACAGCAGCAAAAAATTATGAACAGCTTTTATACTCATTTAAGAGGCAGGAAGTTCAGAGTTTCCTAATTATCAAGGCAGCAAAGCCCTAGAATATCCTTGCGTTCAGAGTGGGAGGGCATACAGTTTTAAAGAGCTTGGAAAGTGTACAAAAAGGTGAATGATGTAGCATACAAGTTCCTGTCTCAAGTCAAACCTCCAAGTGATTTCCCACCTCCTCCTGCAATCAAAATGTTATATACAAAATACAACACTTAACCCATTTAGAGCCTGCTGAAGTTTAACATTAGCTTCACAATGGTATCCCATAATGAAGGCAGAGACAGCACATAATGTACTGTGTGTGTAAAATGAACTTGTATTACAGGATTAGAGGCAACTGAAGATACTTGCCTTTTTGATACCTGACATGCTGCAGATTCTCCTGGACATGATTCCTGTGGTACACTGTCACAAATATTTATGTAGAAGTCATAATCAGGGGCATGAACAATATAGCTCCCACTTTTTTTGGTCAATGGTGACAAGTCAAAAGAAAATCCTACATAGGAGTGAACAAAAATACCTTATGAGTACAGCTTATTTTATTCTCTCTTCTCTTTTAGAAGTCTTAACCTATCAGTTGACTTGTATTCAAAATGAAGCATGCAAATACACGTGATGTACAACTAGAGCAGTTGTTCGTTTTTAGCTTAGCTTAGCAGTTTTTCTACAATTTCATCCAAATTTATTATATACTCTGTTCAAGGAATTTATTACAACAGTAATCAGGTCATATTTCCCAAAGTTGAAAACACACCTGGAGTAGATGTGCCAAAACTTTAAGCAGATTAACTGCATATGCAAATGAGAAAATGGCCAATTTGGTGTTATTTCTGTGCATCAGGCCCCCAACTTAAGAGTGTCAATACATTGGGCCAAGAATGTTTAACTCCATTTTTAAGTGCAAAATAGATTTGTGAACAATCTACATGTAGTCCATATAGCTTGAATGTTATCACCTAATAAAAACCTCAAATCCAGTTATCCTCAATGTTATATACATACCAGCCTGAGAATCAGAGACTCTGCAGTTGTCTCCTTCCGTTTTGGATAGGACACAGGCAGCAGCAGTATGCCACTCAAATTCATACAAACATTCATCATCATTTTCAGATATTAGAACAGGAGCACTTTCTAGATCACCTGGCATCAAGAGTAAGTGATACATTGAACTGTCATTCATTCAAGACATGTCATCTTTAATAACAAACTCAAATACAAAAAAAAAGTTTCCTGCTTCCCCACTGGAACCAACTTAATGAACAGATATTGTACTCCATAACACTTGCAATGCCACTTCAACAGGACCAAATTAAAAATGCTTTCAGTCTGAATAAGCATCCACCCATTTCTTATTTTTCCAAGATCTAGGATGCATGGACACCAACACATCTCTCCCACCCCAAGCAAAAAATGTGATACAGCTATAGGCATAAAAGTCTAGGAAATTTCTAAATCTAGGGCATCTCCCACAATATCATACAAATGTTAATATTGGCCCAAGTGCTGGAACTGCACTGTTGAAAATTTACTGTGCTCAGATGGAACAGGTTTCCCTCCCCATCAATAAAACAGAAATAAAAGCACAGTTTAATACAGAGGAGACTGGGAGCAGCATGACCTTTTAAAATTAGTGATACACCCCAATTAAATTAGCTTTTCCTCTTCAGGGGGATGGGGGGTGGGGACGACGGACGGGGAGGGGAACTATTTCCTGCTTAAGGGACTTGTACATAAACAGCCAAACCCCAATCTTAACCCTTAGCAGCCCACTGGTCCAGCCTTTAAAGCAGTGGTTCCCAACCTTTTCAGAGTCAGGGCACTCCTTCATAACTTTTCTGAGTTTAGTGGCACCCCAGTCAAGAACCACTGTTGGGATGCCTCAGCTTTCCCAAGTAGTTCTCAACTGGGGTTCTGCCCTATGCGTTTCATGCAGTGTCAGACCAGGAAATACTGTGGTAGCAGCACCTGGTCCTGCCATATCCTTTCCTGGTCCAATCATACATGGCTCTTCCAGAAAGATTTATGCAGAACAGTTCCCCCTACCTACGTGTCTGTTCAGGTTTTTCAGATAACCTTAATGCTGGCAGCTCCTTACATAGCCCTTCCCAGTCTAGCTCTGCTTCAGACAAAGGGTAGTTTCATCTGGTTGCAGCAACACTCCCAGAGCACCCCAAGTTGAGAACTACTTGTTTAGAAGTCTCATGGCTCCTTTTCAATCCAGATCATTACTGCATCCCTTAATACAGAATAGGCTATATTCAAAAGGATGGATGAAACGTTGCCCTCACACAGCCCAACCTCTAATCTGATCATGGGGGTTGGACTACATGACCTCCTGAGGTTCCTTCCAACCCTAATTTTCTATGATTTTATGATTAGTGTTTCGCTGGGGAGATGTGTTTTTTGAACACCCTCCTGAGGCTGAGGAGGGCATAGGACCCAGGTCTCCCATGTCTGTCTTCTAATAATTTGGAAAACAGGAAAAGTATCACATCTCTTCGGGCATGTCTTTGAATGAAAAGTGCCTATGGCTGCGAGGCTTTGTAATGAACTCTGTGCAAATGAACACAATTGGTGCAAAGCTCCTTTGCCCCACCAAGGTGGCCATCTTTCTAGGCACAGCCCTAAGGAATTTTATTGGCAAAACATACGTACCCACTGACCTTCAGGCTTGTGGTGTGGGTGAGGATGGAGCTGGGTTGAGGACAAACCCTCTTGGACTTCAGAAGCTACATTCTGCTTCAGTTGTATTTTAGCCACCGTGAGGGTTGGTGGAAAGTAACACAGGGATCAGAGAGGAAGTTTGGGGAGAGGCTTATAGTAACTGGCCTCAGGATCACCCCGTCTAGCCCCCTAGACACTGCACCAGCCATCCCCTTCATGTTTGTATGTTAATAACTCACATGCTGTTCATGTTACATGTTCAATATTGACTTTCATTATTAAGACTCAGAACACATTATGCTCCTTTTGACACAAAGCTTTGGGAGTGGGGATGAGAGGGGAGGGGGAGAGAAGAGTGGGCAATATTCTCACCTGGCTTGCACACAAGCGCTATGACAGTTTTGATTTTCTTGTCACTCAAACAGCTGTCGCCATTCTGATAAACAAGCTGAATACTCTCTCCAACTTTTTGGGGAGATGACATAAATGTCCCAAGATTTTTAGCCTTGTTTTGTTTATCTGAAGTGGGAGGAAAGAAACACATTAAAGTTTCCCTAAACTAGAATAAAGCTTAAGCCAGAATGTCAGTTAGAAATCTGTGCTGATGGTGGGTGGGGGGATGGAGGGGGCAGGAAGGGACACATACACAGAGGAAGTTTCGGTTGTTACATGTCAAAAGCATTGTCAACAAGCCTAGTCGAGTGTCACAGGACTATTAGCCAAGAAGAATTAGTCCTTCAGTAGAAGTTAAACTGTGGATTTCAACTATTCTCTCTTAGGCCCCTGTGGACAGGAAATGAAAGCATCCCCTTCTCCAACCCCCACAGCCCTGGAATACACAAGCACTACTCTCATGCCTATGTTAGCATTACACAAGCACTTGCAGGGAGGCTATCTTCTGGAGCAATGTCACAAGCATTTACAGCTTCAGAATCGTCCACTCACCAACAGAGCAGATAGCCGCATCATCTGGGCAGCCAAGTGCTCCCCCCTTCTTAAGCACTTTATGACAGACATTGATGTAGTAGCGTTTCTTCTCTGCTTCTGTAAGACTGCTATCCACAGCTTCCCAATTCTGGGCTGATTCTGGGATTAAGAGATTTTGTTTTAGATGCAATATGAAGAAACAACAAAGTCACCAAACACCTTGAAAAGTTAAAGGAGTAGTCAGGGCTAGTGAGCTTTTAGAGATCAATTCCTTGTTAAAGGTTCTTTAGAAGGAACCTAAAATGTCTGTTATAAAAATACCCATAATAGCAATAGGACGCATTAAAACTATGACGTGAGCTTAAGTGACTCACAATAGAAAAGCAGCAATCATGCACTATATTAGCATCAAGAGTAACCAGTTCAAGAGAAAGAAAAGACAGTGGTTTGCACCATTTTACCTGAACTGCGAGTGAGAGGTGACAAGTCATACCGTTTCTTCTTATCAGCAACTCTGCAAAGGATATCTTCCTTCTCTTTTACACAGGCATATTTCGTATCCCAGGTGAAGAAATATGTGCAGTCCACTTCACCAGTGAACACTGGAGCCCCTTTACCATCATTACCTTCAATCAGAAAGATAAAAAGCTTGATGCAGATGGAGAAAAGTTAAGTTTAAAAGCTTGGAGCTTGAGGGAAGAGTAGTAATAGACATGAAAGGCACTCAATCCTGTATTGTAGTAGAAGATTCCAAGGCTGCAGTCACAGAATCAGAGAGAAGTGGGGCTAGACAGGACCCCACAGGTCATCTAGTCCAACGCCCTGCCTAAGGCAGGATCAGCTCTGCCAAACCATCCTCTACAAACCCATAGTCTAAAACTCTACACAAGATTACCATCAACCCTGACAACACAGACCTAACACCCTAACCTGCCACAGGTAAAACAGGGGAACCACAGCAGCCAATGCCCTGCTTCTAAGAAATATTGTCAATATATGCTTAAAATATCCTGGGTAGGAGGACCACACCCTCCATTATACAGGAAGGCAAAACCCCACACAATCCATACCAATCTGACCATGGGGTAAAATTCCTTCCAGACCCCAAATATGGCAAGTCAGCCTGACCCTGAGCTGAGGGGCAAGACCCTCTAGCCAGGAAGCTCTGGCTTTGGTCCCTAGAAAAACCCCACCCTTGGCTGTAGCCAATATCCAGTGTCTCTGAGGAAGGCTTAACACACCCTGAAATGTCACAGAAAGGTTGGAAGGGGGCAACCAGCAAAGCCCAGAAGTATGGAAAATACCCACGGTAGAACATAAGCATAAATACACTTAGATCATCCCCCACTAGTAGCTGTCCAACTTCTTGAAGACCTCCAGTGATGAAGAGTCCACAACTTCCCTAAGCAGTCTCTTCCACTGCCTCACTACTCTAACTGGGACGAAGTTTTTCCAGATATGCAATCTAAACCTACTTTCCTACAATTTCAAGCGATTGGTCCACATTCTCCGCTCTGCAACAAGAAAGAAAAGGTGCTCTCCCTCTTCTTTATGGCAGCCCCTCAAGTATTTGAAGACTGCCATCATGTCCCTTCTTGCATCCCTTTTCTGTACAAGCTCAACATACCTACCTCCTTCAGCCTCTCCTCACATGACTTGCCTTCCAAGCCCTTTACTCAACTTCATTAGCTGCCTCTAGACCCTCTCTAACTTCTCCCCATCCTTTTTAAAATGTGGAGCCCAGAACTGCCAATGCCAAGTAGAGAGGCGCCATCACCTTCCATGTCTAGCACCTAATACTTCTGTCCCAAAACCACATTAACCTTTCGTGCGGCTGTACCACACTGCAGTAGTATTGAGTCTATGATCTACCAAGTCCTCTTCCATAGTGCTGCCATCCAACCAGGTGTCACCCGTTTTATTAAATGTGGTTTTAATTATTCCTCCAAAGTGTAACACCTTGCATGTGTCCACACTGTACTTCATCCTGTTAGCTCTAGCTCAAGATCTGTCAAGATTCTTCTGAATTGCACTTGCAGCCTTCAATGTGTTCACAGTCCTTCCCAGTTCCCCATCATCTGAAAACTTACTCAAGAAGCTTTCTATGCAAGCATCCAAATCATTAATAAAACACAATGAAAAAGCACCAGGCCCAGGACAGACCCTTGTGGAACTCCATGCAAAACCTCCACCCATTCTGACATGGACCCGTTAATAATTAGCCTTTGTTTGCAGCTATTGAGCCAGTTATCCACCTTGAAGTAGTTTTATCTAGCTTACATCTCTCCAATTTGTTTGAGAAGGTGGTGCAGGACCTTGTCAAACACCTTGCTGAAGTCCAGATGCGCTATATACACAGCGTTCCCTTCATCCACTCAAGCAGTTGCTTCGTCAAAAGAGATCAGTTCCAAAACCATGAGATTCATTAGAGTCATGCAAACTATTTTCATAGCTGGCAGCGAAACATCCTTCTCTGTTTGAAGATTAAATAGTAAGTAATGAGCTCTCACTGCTTCTTTCTTTCCTTGGCATGTTATGATGACCAAGACAGCACATTTACTCCTGTACTAGAAACAGGTCTCACTACTCACAGCAAAGTGCAAGGGGAATTAATCCCAAGTCACTAGGCTCTTCGGTTTAAATAGTTAACTAGCCAAATTATGCATAGGATCTGCAAAAACACCTTAGAGTAACTAAAGACAAATACTCACTTGCTGTTTCATTGCATTCAAAGTTTATAACGGTCATCCGCTGAAAGCCAGAGCTGCATGCATCACCATTTGGATAAGTCAAAGTGAGGTCCCCATCTGAATACCTAACAGAAACCAAAGATTTAGATTGGTATTTTAAAAAGGCACTGTCAGACATAACTATCGTTTTGCCCACAACTAACGGAGATCCAGCTCATGCAATTCAACTACTGTTTCTTTCATTACAGGAAAAGAAGCTGTGACTCGGCACTAACTGAGGTTTCCACTACAGCAAAAGCCTAACCCCTTGTCTTGCCCTACCAAATGATTGCATCAACCATAATTGAGACGTTTTGCTGTATACATATTCAGAAAAAACACTGAGCAATAATGTCTACTTTGAGTGCCTTGCATTCCAGTTTGCACTGCTATAAAATTAATGCAAGATGTTACAACAGTAGGAAAAGAGTCCCAAGTTCCACAATTCATTTAATAGCAAGATTACATCTTGTCCAGAAAAAAAAATTAAAATATAAATAAAAAATAATTAGTTCAATGCCATTTACCTACAAAATAAGCCATTATGTCTGCTAAGAGCAATAACTTTTTTCCCCTTAAAGTATTATGTCCTATACTATATTTATTGGAAAAACAGCCTTTTTAATGTAAAATCATTTTTATTCAGGTGGCCTTTGCATTTTTATCTTTACATGAGAAGTCATGCCTCCTTCCACACACTGATAAAAGAACCTCGTGACAAAGGTACATTTGAAGCGCAAAGGTGAAGCACCTACAGCAAATTCCCTTGTGTATTTTTTATTCTACACAATTTAGCACCAACAAGATTATGATGCAATACTGCCAGTGAAACACTTTTAGGCAAAAATAAAAATACTTCACACTCCCATCTCTGGAGAGCCACTTTAGTGCTTGCTTGAAAACCCCACAGTTGCTAGTCTGGCACAGCACTCATAGCTTTTACGTTGAAACAAAGTCACAGAAAAAACTAATTTTCCTAATGGATGCATTAGTTACTATCCATGACATTACTGTATTTTAAGATTTGTACATAAGAGTCACTTTCTATCAGATATCATTTATTCTTCCACACTGAGTATTTATGTAGTGATTTAGTATGACTCAAGTATGTG